GACTTCACCATCACCATCGCAGTCAACCACTAGCTATGGCTTTGATGACAGCCAAAGCTTCTTGGTTGGTCTCCCTGCTTCGGCCCACCTACAGTGCATTCCTAACAGACTGGCCAGGGTAATCTTTTTACACAAAAATCCTATCTTGTCTTTCCTTGGTGTCCAATTCTTCGCTGGCTTCTGACTTCATTTAGGATAAAGACTAAACACTGTACTCAGGCTCTGCATGATCTTGGCCACTCCGCTAAGATCACTCCCTCTCCCCATCATTGACAGCCCTAGGCACACCAGCCTCTTGGTGGGTCCTAAGATGTGCCCAGCTTGTCCTGCCTCCAGCCAGCATGGAAACTCTTCCATCTGCCTGGCTGTTCTTCCCCAGCTTTTTATCTATGAGGTTCCTTCTCAACCTTCACATCTCATCCTTATGGGAAGTCATCCCTGACCACTCAACTTAAATAGCCACCCACTTCCCCCCAGTTATTCTCTACTGCATCACTCTTTTTATTCTTTCCTAGAGATTATTAAAATCTATATATTTTAATGTGTGCAGATATTTATTGTCTTTCTTCCTCACTGCAATATAATCTCCATAAAAGAAGAATTCTCATTTGCATGATTTACTGCTGTAGCCTCAGGGCCAAGCCCTGTGCCTGGCATACAGCTCGTCTTGTCAATTCCACCTCCAAGATACATCTTAAAAACATGCTCTCTTCCTTGCCTCCACTATCACCACCCTAGCCTAAGCCACCATTCTCTCTCCCTTGGGCTGATGCAGTAGCCCCTGATTGGTCCTTCTGCTTCAACTCTGGTCCAGAACTCAGTTAGTACTTGTTGATAGAATAAATAAGCCTATCACGTTAGGAACAATAATACCTAAAAGAGATGGGAATCCATACCCCGTAGGAAAATCACTTAGCTTTTCCCAAGCACTGAAAGAACATCAAATGCTCACCAGCTTTCACACTCAAGTGATAAAATAGGAGGCATTTTATCCAACTCAGGCACAGCACAGTTGAAATGCCACATGGAGAACAGAGAGTATTCAATTTTCTACAAGCTACTATTCCAGTGGTATCCACAGAGCTGCTGGGCTCTAAAGGAGGAGGTGTAGGAAAAAGAAAAATGCCTACGATCTTAACCACAAACATCCACAAAAATAGTAATAACTTTCAAAGACCTCCGCAACCCATTTCTGACCACATCAGAGAAGACTCATCTGGAGACCTTTCTCTAATATCTGTATCTGCCATGAGGTTAGGGATGCTGTAAAAATAGATAGAAAATAGGTGCACTGTTAATTAAGGAGACAGCTCAAAAGCTTTCTAATACTCATCACACCTTTGAACTAGTAATAAGATGATTATAGTTTCCAATACCATTTCCCCATCATCAGACCCAGAAACAGCCTTTGGCTGAGAGGTGAGAGAGTGGAACAAGGGCCTGTGTAATCCCACGTGCCAGGATGTCATTTTATAAAATCATGCCAGGTCTATTGCGCAGTCTTCACATGATTCCCACTGATTTCAAGACACCCAGGGCAGTATCCATAACATACTCTCACGTAGAAAGTGAAAACGCGTGTGTCTGTGGGCTGTGGCAGCTGGTTGGGTTGGAGGCTGTGGGTACTTGAAACTGGTGCAACCGGGGCAAGAAACACCTGCTTCTTGCCTCATTTGAAGTGACTTGAAGGGAAAAATTGCCTTGAGGTGACAGAAATAATTATGTAAGTTTGTCTGGAACTGACAAAAAAAATGCATTTGACTGTCACAAAGCAAATGAGGCTGTCCTCCAAGTTGGCACCCGGCAATTGCCCCAGGTAAAAGATGCCACAGATAGGAAAGTGAGCGCCAGCATCATCTGGGCAGCACAGTGGCTTTTCAGCTCTTTCCCACTCCCAGTCTCATTCAACACAGTTGTGGGAGGCCACCCCCGTGTCCCAAGATAATATTCCAGAAATCACCACTTCCTTTCATTTGGGGTCTCTCCCCATCCCCTGCACAGATTTGCAGACTGGCGTTGACCTGAAATCCAGCCCAGGAATGAAACCTTAGAGCTTAATCCACTAAGTCGGTCTGGCTTTGAGCCCCAGAGAAAATGGGATTTCTATAAAATGTTCACTTTAAAGAGAGATTTGCTCCCTTCACAGCTCCTTTTCTGCGTCACACACCATTAACTCACAAAACCCTGGCCATTGCCGAGGCAGAGGCTCGAGCTGGCTATGCAGAAAGGGGCACACGCCCGCATTTGCTGTGTCTCTGAATGAGGCACTATTTGATTCGCACAAGCTGTGGTTCTCTGCCTCATTATCTACACTGCAAAAACATCCTGGTTCACTCACTTCCTTGCCTCCGCTGCATATCATAATTTGACATAGTGACAAAAACACGAAGACTCCATTGTGACTTTGACTCCCCCCGTCACTTCTCCTTGTGATAGAAGCTTCAGGAAGGCTCGGCTCACAGCCCAGCACAAGTGCACAGTGAACTAGGAGCTAACACATTCCTCACTGAGAATCTACACCATGCATGTAAATCCCTGCAGTGTTTCAAAAGCATCACTGGTTTGCTATCGCTGGACTACTACTCACCACTTGGGGAGTGCGGTGGTTAGTTTTCTTTCATTCTTTCCCCGACCCCCCTCCCACCCACCCCGTTCCTTCTTCACTGTTCTTTGTCCTCTTTGGTGTCTGGTAGACTGACCCCCTTGCAGGTTGCATCACCCCGGCTTGCTTGCCAGAGTGCTAAGGGAAGCCCCCGCAGCAGATCAGAGTTGGGGCAGACAGGTCAGGTAGTTCTCCCCTCACTCCCCGTCAACTTGCCAGCCAGTCTCTTGGAGGAGCTGTTTCCCTCCAAGACTAAAAATACACACCGGGAAGTTCCTCCTCCTAGGCTCCAGCTCTGGGTTCCTGTGCCACCATTTCCTCCCCTTGCCACGTTAGTCCTAAGTGTGCCTCACTTCCAGTCTCTGGGGGCGCCATCATCCACTGAATGTCCTTTAATTCTTCATACACCTAAACAAAAAGTCCCTTCATTAAGGGCTCTTCATCTGAACCACATGAATCCTGTTTCTTGCTGATGCAGGTAGGACCACTTGGTGCTGTCAAAAGTCCCCATCCCTGCTTCAGGGATTCTCATTTTAATACTCAAATAACTCTGCATCTGGTCACTCTTGCTCCCGGTGTGGTCTATTCTTGTGCCTTACTCCTAATACATGGTTTGTGCATTCTTCTGAGATCATGCAGCTGGCTCCATTCTGCTAAGTAGGGGTGTGTCTTATGACCTTAGGCCTGGTTCCCAGCCTGGGCAACCTAACATCCCAGACCTTCTAGAGATTGAAGGCCACTTCCTCTTGATAACTCCCCCTGCCCCAAATCCTGGTACCTGAATTCCAGCCAAGGCTCAGCTCCTTGATTCTTAGAATGTGCATCTAGTCGGATATCTAGATAGTACCTGCCTCTTGTTTCTGCTTTGATATTGCTATTGATTTGCTTGTCCACAGAAATACTGACTTGCTAGGTCAATTGGAATAACCGCCTTTTGTTTTTGTTGTATTCTCCAGAGAACATGTTCTATCTGTTTCACTGGACTTCCACCTTCAAATCCACTTCCTAGGACCAGGAATCTCCCCATATATGCCATCTTGTTAACATTTATTTTTGCTTCTCTAAAGACAACTGCTTGCCAGGATGACCACCTGGTTTTAATATTTTTCATATTTTCAAGATGCCATGTCCTACCTGCTGCTTAATCAATGGCAACTTAGACACACTAATTGATGACCACTTGTTTCAGCTACATCTGAGTGCCAACTCAGTGATTCAGTGACAGTCCCATAGTTTTGAGAGTCAACCAATCAGTGGTGGAGTCACGCCAGTGACAGTTCTGAGACCTAACCAATCAATAAGTCTTGCCTCCTGCCCCCCGCCCCCCAAAACCACGCTTTTATGTTTGATGTCAACCAACTACCGCTTCTGTAACTAACATAATCTCAAAGCAACCCCTCACCTCAAATCCTGTCTAGCATGAGCAGGCTGCTTTGCTCAGAGAGATTATGGCTAGTGGTATTCTCTTTCTTACTTGAGTAATGAATTCAGCTTTTTCTTTCAGTTATTGAGTGCTGATACCTTCCCTTTGCAATACACAATAAAACCTTTTACACAAGCTACGAATAGAAGGAATCTTCTTTAGCTTGACAAAATAAATTGACTAGATCTGTAACAAGTATCACACTTAATAGTGAAACAGTAGAAGTGTCTCTATTAAAGGCAGAAACAAAGTTGCTGTCACTGTTGTTTCACAGTGTGAAAGGTGACACTGGGGCCAAACAAGAAGATAAAGACATAAGGACTAAATATAGAAATTGTCATGATTTTCCAGGAAATTATTGTCTACTAAGAAAGTCCAGAATCAATTTGCACATTCTTAGAACCAAAAAGAATGGTCAGTAAGGTGGTTGGATACAAGCTCAACAAAATACTAACAATATCAGTGGTAATCACTAAACTGTATTGAGTGCCTATGATGTGCGGGTGCTATTCCACATGCTTTACAGGTTTCATGTAATCTAAAACTCACAGTAACCCTTTGAAGTAAGTACTGTTATCCTTACTGCTTAAGAGGTGAGCATACAGAGATACAGCAAGATTAAGTTGCCAAAATTACCCAGCTTGTATGATGTTGCTGAGATGTGAACACAAGCAAAGCAGTGTCAGAAATCATGCTGTTAACTACTGTTACACTGATCTCTATGCTTTTTACTCATGGATCCCAAGAATAAAAAAAAAAATTGAGCGAGCATCCATATATGTATATGTTTATTTTTTAAATTATATGCACATTATAGAACAAATTTAAAAAAAACGTTTAAAGGACAGGATAGAGATGAACCAGACAATATTTTCAACACATTCTCAATGAATTAATAATTGGAATTATTAACCTTATTTTATGACACTCTCCTGGACCTGGGAAGGTTAAGAAAACATTCCTAACTTAGCTTACCTCCCAAGACACGTAAGGCAGCATTTGCAGACCCTCCTATGATCCTGGATGTTGGCAGGCTTCTGTGTCACCTCCAATGCTGGCTTCTTCCTAGTCCCGATGACGCGGGTTGAGGTGGCTAGATGACCAGTTTTGGCGTGGGTCTTCAGTTTGAGCAAGGAAGCATTAGTGACGGCTTCAGTCATCTGTATGGGTGCCCTTTTGCTTGTTCAGCAGTGGCTGTCTGAGTTTGTTTTCCCCAAAAATGAAGCCCAAAACATGGACTTGGGTGGAGCTAGTTTATTTGGGAGATGATCACAAAAGGAGGAGAAAGGAGTTGGGGACCCTGAGACAGGAAAGGAAAAGCCAACAGGAAGGCACATTATCAAGGTTGCTGCTGTAGGCAATGGGAGCTCCTTTCGCTGGGACTTCTGGGGAGTATAAGGAACTCTTCCCAGAAATACCTTTCAAAAGGTACAGGCTGGAGCTTGTGTCACAAGCTCCCATCCCCCCTTGGTAAAGGGCTACCCCTGGGTCGTCATCCTGAACTTGCAGACTGCTCAACTTCTCAGACATCAACCTGAGTGCCACCCACAGACATGCAGCGAGATAGTAATAGTCACAGCGAACAAGTGGCTCTGATTTGTAATTGTAACCCAGCTACCAGGAAGAAAACTTCTAGGGCAAGCGTATTTCACACAATAATCAGAAATCTGGAATAGGAAATGCAGACACTAAAGGAAGACACTCTTGGTGATGATGATCATGGCTTTGCTCAAATTGACAATTTAAGTTTGTGATCCTGATAACTAGGGAGCAGGCCACCCTGCGTTTCTTACCAAGATGCACTGATTTGAGTTCTCCCACTAGCCCCTGACTTCTCTTTCCTCCTGTATCACAAGAGTGACAAGTCACAAGTGTCCCAGTGAATAAGGTCAAGAGGAACAAAGAGAGGCTATTTCCTGCCTAAACTTCATATACTTTATGTGTGATTGCATGCTCTTGGATGACAGCTACTGCCAAAATGACTGCAAGCCCAGAGCTGAACTTCAAGAATTACACAACTTATAATGTAGTTAAACATCCTATAGCTCACATCTGGAGCTCTTTTCTTCCCTGACTCTCTTAATCTCCCCACAGCTCACTGCCCACTTCTCTGGCTGATTGCAAAGGCAGCAGAACTATCAAACTCTCAGATTTAAAGATCTCCTGATGACACTTCCAAGGTCCTTCCTTTTCAATCTATGTCTGGCCACCACCAGCCAGGGCCACCCCCACCCTCACTCCCCACCTCACAGCCCCTCCTGCCCAGAAAACCTCTTTAGCCCCCATAGGACGATGAAGCCTTCAGAAAGCAGGTTTGTAACCTCTCTGTGTTTGCAAACACTTCCTGAGATCTCTCTCTCCCATACACAGGCTCTTGTGCTACTCGTTTGACAAGTATTACAAAATCACAAACCCATCCCCTCACTGCAGGTGATTAATGCACTTTGGTCTTTCTGCAAGCACAAAGTACTCTTCCTTCAGGCCACAACATTTGATAAAGAAATGAATCTTTGAGATTATTAATTCCCTGGGCTGAGATTTTGTTTAATAACTTTCTGTCAGTGATAGATCTGAAGAGGTAGGGCATATTTGGGGTGTGTGTGTGTGTGTGTGTGTGTGTGTGTGTGTGTGAGAGTGAGAGAGAGAGAGAGAGAGAGAGATGGAGGAAAGTAGGTAGGAGGGAGTGAGACAGAGAGACAGGGATAGTGGGAGGGTTGTGGAGTGGCGAGGGGAGGGCACTGATTGTGGCCTAGAGATTTGGCAGGCTGGCATAGCAAAGCACCTCCTTACCCAGAACTGGAGTACCAGTGTGACAAATCACTGCTTCCCTCTGTTCCCACCTCCCCATCTCCCCACCTCACTGTCTGTGCTAGCTGATTAGGTCCAAATCAGCCAATTACAGAACGTGATTTGGGAAATATTTCCTCTTTGACATTCTGGAGAACAATCCCGTGCTGAGGAAAAAAATACATATAAAATAAATGGAAAAGCATCAATCAGCTGGGAAAATGTATTCTACTTGTTGGAGGCAAGTGATGTTTTTCTTTAAATGGGGCTGAAGGCAGAGAGGTTTGATTTTTTACTGAGATACCAAAACAGCAGGGAAGCATCTGCCTATAAGCTGTTACCTTTTCCCCCTATAAAGCAAGATGCCCTAGTAGATCATTATTAGGGAAGCAGGCATCACATGATGGTCAGTACATTACTTGTCCAATTTTGGTGTGATTTGGATAAAAGTACAAAAGTAATTTCGTTGCCAGCAAATAGCGTCTGCCCACCCCCACACCCCTACTTCCTTTTTCCTCTCTCTCTCTCTCTGTCTCACACACACACACACACACATCTTCCCCAAATGGAAGAATGGTCAAATTGCTGAAGAGGAAGTTGTTTTCCCTTCTGGTATGTACCTCACCCCTGCCAGCCTCATCCAGAGATTTTGGCAATTGACAGGTTTTTATACCAGACAAAGCAGACCTGACTTCCTCGTGTGGGGATAAGACTCCCTGGAGGAGGAGAAAGCCCTCCTGTGAAGCAGATCTGTGTAACGAGGCCTGGAAACATTAGGCAGCCTGTCCCCACCCTTCCCCTCTCTCTTTTCATGTGGCACAACCTTCTACCCTCCTCCTGTCCTCCAAGATCAAGAAACACGTGTTTGTATGACTCATAGGCGCATGAACTGAATCCAGAGGGTAAGTAACTCACTGAACAAATGAGATGTGTCATTCCCAGGCTATAACCATAATTCAAGGCCTCACCTTTTCCTAATGAGCCTCACGGCCTGGTATATTCGTGCCTGCCCTGCCTGCTGCAGCTGCAGCCCCCAGCCTCTACAAAGTCCCACAGAGCCCCAGGCCTGGTGGGAATGTCCGCTCCTCTCCTGCATTTAGGCTGGAATAAAGGGCTTGAGCTCCTCTGAATGGCATTTGCCTTCTACTGACTTTGAAAAATACATATATTTCTTCCCATTTGTGCTGCCCCGACATACTTACGTGGCACTTTTTTCTCACAAAGTTATCACAAAATGCAAATATGCTACAACTTTGTTTTTCTTTCTCAGTTAAGGGCCAGGATGTCCGTGAGAGAATATGTGTAGTACATATTAGCGTGAATGGATTCCCACAAAGTAGTAAAGAAAGCTTCATTGACTCTCAGCTGCTTTCCCCCTCTGTTTTCGTCACCTTCCATTCTTACCCCGGGCCCATGCTCCTCACTGCGTGCATACACAAACACACTTCCCTCTTGAAAACACCCAGTTCTCCTCCAATTGACTGCCATTTTCCTAAAACGATCCCTTTTTAATTGCCTCACTGAGGTCTGTTTGCCTTCCTAGGACAACACGTGTAACGAGATCTTACTTGATTCCTTGCATCTGTCAAAAGTGAACTCGATCATCTCTGGTTATAGTTGCTTTCCAACTTTCAGACCAGAAAAGATTCTATCTTCAACTATCTGAAATTCATCCAGATTCTATGTCCAGTGTTCTAGTTTTAGAAAGTTTCCTCCTCAGCACCTGCCCTCAATATTCTTTACTCTTCAACTTTTCAGACAAAAAAAGTTTTACTATTTTTGCATCATCAGGTTCTGAGTTCCACTAACAGTAAGACGTGTCTGCAGTTATATTGAGTGTGCATACACACCCATACACATTTCATCCAGAAATATTTCATTGCACAGGGGTGGTATTGGTTGGTAAATGCTTGCTACTAAATCCCAGAAATCTCAAGTCCTATGAAAGCCCCTGGAAGAAGATAATTGGAGTTAGATAAGAGTTTGAGATCAGACCAAAACAATAATGATAATAATAATAATAATAATCAATACATTAGCATTTGGCAAGACCCTTCAATATTCTGATGCTCAGCTTTGGTGTTCTTGCATGTTAAATGTTGACAATAAGGCCTCACACTGGGTTGGGAGAGAGTGGAGATGAATGAGATGAAGTGCATAAGAAGTTGGCAGAGTGGCTGGCACGTGATCATTCCTTAATAAAATACGATTAATACAAGTCACATCGTGTTGACTTCTCTGTTCCCGTGGGACAGCCTTGCTCCCAACTCAAGGCTTGGTTCAATGACCAGCAGGGTGGGTTGTCTCCGAGCTCACATTATTGTCCATGCCTCCCTGACACCACCCATTTCCCATTTTCAACATGGCTATCTGATCATGTTCTCCTGTATCCCCACTTTTTCTTTTCTCCTTTCCTAATTTTGCCTTTGAAAAGTAGTCACAGCAGCACAATCCCCTAGTGCCAAGACACACAGGAAAACTTAAATATTTGAAAACCTTTCATTCATGACTTCAGTCCAAAGGTCATCGAACAAGCTGTCAGGGGACTATGCCTTCAGTTAAATGCAGCAGCCAAAAAAGCACCTATGCCTAGGAACCATCTCCCTAGCAACAGAGTTCCTGATGGCCAATGGACACTCCTTTGGAAGCACTAACAGAGTTTTTGTTTCCAAAGCATGTCCACTTCTTCTACTTTGATTAATCAACGTCATCTCTTTTGGTGTGTTTTTAAGTGAAACAATAGATTACTGCTCAGCTACAGTTGAATGACAAAGGGTTTTCATGAATCTCAAGAAGAAAAAGCAGAAAGCAAAAATCTACAATGGATTTTGTCCAAATGGAAAGCTTAAAAGCCTCTCTTTCCCTTGCTGCCTAAGTTCTTGTAAGCAATTATGTTGAGAATAATCTTTTGAAGCATGAACATTCCCCTCTATATCACCGAAAATGTGGGGTAGTCCACCTTTTTCAGCTTTCTTTTTGGCTTAGGATACATGAAACCTTACAGATAATTCATGCTTGGTTTACAGGAGTAACATGTAGCATAGTATCCAAAATCATCTCCCAGCGATTCTTAGAACTCTATTTTTTCAGACTCTGGACTCTGACAACTATTTTGGACTTGCCTTTCGTTTCTGGCAGGGAGGGTTAACATGTGTTTAGGAAGATACATTTCTCGGGGAATTTTTTTTTTACTCTCTCTTCGTTGGAATCCTTTTCTCAGCTTTAGACAGTTCTAATGATTCTGTGACACTAGGAATATGTCTGTGATGACTTTGCTTTACCCTCTTATGTTGGGACAAGTGTTCTTGAATTATTCCAATACCCCTTAAGGTCTTCATCCACACTTGATTAAGATATTTAAAACAAACAGAGGCACTCCATTAAAATGTATCATCCATTGGTTTCTGGCTGAATTTCTCCTCTAAATCCCTAAACACATGTGAAAAGATAAAATAAGAAAGTAGAATTCTGTCTTGAATTCAGTTCTAAATACTTAGATGATAATTCTTGACTTTTAAGTCAAAATGCTCATTCATTGCCTGGCAAGGAAGAATACAAAAGAAGCCATGTGCTTGATTTTGTATGTAATTAACATGTACTGAAATGCATTTGCTTTTGTCTTGCACATGCTCATTTTAAAGATGATTTGCACAATGGATTGAGACTGAATTTTCT